GAAGGCCAGGTAGCATCCACTGATCCACTGGCAACATAGGGGTGGGGCCAAGTAAGGAGACCAGCACCCTCTGGGTCACATAGGGGAAGGAGCACTCTAGTGGGAAACTGGATTACCTGCTACCCAGGACTGTTTCATTATTTAAAGGGACAGACACTGGTTCCCCTGCCCAGGGATTACCCCAGAGATGCCGGATTAAGGAGAATCTAGGGTCTGGGGTTATACTTCAGGAGAGACTGACTAGCTCTCCATAAGAGGATTTTTTACTGTACAGACTTGTAAATAGTTTCAGAAAGCTTATTGTCAGGGCTCCAGGTATGACCAGAGGTGTGTGGACTGACACAGGAAAACGCAGGCTTCAGATATGGTATAAACAAATATAATTTATTAAGACTAACAATACAAAACGCAGTGCAAAACTAAACAAACACAGTGCAAACAAACCAAACCACCCACCGATAACAATACATACAATACAAAGAGTAGTCAGGCAGGCCGGGTCAGTAGCAAACGGGCAAACGGGAGTACCAGGAACAAGCGGGAGAGTGGTCGGGGTCACAAGCTGGGTTCAGTAACTCACGGGCAGCGCGGTACAGAGGGTCAGGCAGAGAATGGTCAGGGTCACAAGGCAGGGATCAAGCAGGAGAAGTCAGCAGAGGTCAGGATCAGGAAGGGTCGGCAACAAGTCAGACAGGAACAGGAATACAGGATACAAGGTACAGGGGCCCATGGAAAAACACACACCAAGGCCCTGACTGTGAGTCTGGCCATTCCTTAAATACAACCCCTGCAATCAGCTTCAGGTGTTTGGCTGATTGCAGGGGTGAGTCTCTGATTGCTGAGAGCACCCGCTGGCCAGCCCTGGTACTGCAGCCCACAAGGCAGGTGAGTCCCACCATTATTAGCAAGTCCATTCCTGACACTTATCCTCAGTTCCAGTTCCATTAGGCATCCAGTACACCCTTTATCCCACACAATTTTCAAATCCTCTAACAAAACTTCAAAACAAGCTCAAGAACTGGTCACTGACTCCTGAATGTAAGTGGATGTGAAAATGTGTGTTGGCTGGCTGTGCAGGACTATAGGGGGCCCAAAACTATTGCAAATCCTAAGGGGGTAGTGCTACACTTATTTAATTGTATTTGTTAATAAAAGGCTGCAATGACTATTTTGACTACAAACCTTGGTGTGGCCTTTTTCATTTAGGGGGTATGTTAAGAGGTTGGGTTTGAGGTATGGCTAGCAGGTAATTGATAAAGTTGAGGACATCTATTCTACATGAGGCATGAAAGTGTTGACTTCCAAAGACATTTCAGGAGATTTCTGTACAAAGCTTATATACTCATATGTTTATGAAATGTCCTTCTGACTACTCTTCTTAGGACAAGTTTCACTTCCATGTTCCTTAGGCTATTTTATTAAATGGTATGAGTAAAGCGGTTAACATGGCATACAACTTGTCATAGTCCACAAAGTGTGCACTTTATGGCCTGGTGTGGACAGTGAAAAACAGTAGTATAAAATACTGTCACCACAATAATGTGAGAGAAACAGGTGGAGAAGGTGTTGCTTCATCCTGAGTTCTTCCTAATTTGAACAACTCTTTATATATTATTAGTGCACATTACTAACACATATACAGCATTAAACATAGATAAACAACCATGTCCAAATAATTTTGTGGGTTTTTTTTTTATTTTAGTGTTTTCTTTTTGTATTGTTTTTGCACTTATAATGAGAGAACATGTACGTGGTCATTGTAGATCTCTGATTAAAATGCTAGTTAGTCATGCAACAAGTCAGAGCAAAGTTGCAACTGATCTGGACATAAACCAAAAATACATGAGCCAAACACCATAGCTTGCACCATACCGTATGTCCTTATAGAAGTATACCGGCCAAATGAGAAAAAATGTGTCACAAAGTGATGTTCATGGTGTAACTGGTATTGGTATAGACAGTAATGGTAACATCGTTGCATGCCTGGTCTGCAGAGCTGTCATTATGGCGGACAGCTGCTGGAACGCAAGCCTGGAGCCTCCTCCGCAAACTGGAAGTGCATAACCACGTTCACTTCCAACCAATGGCATTGATGCCATTGAATCAGCATTGATCTCAGCATGAATCCCCAGCAATGTTCCGTCTGCAAGAGATTTCCTGCAATAACGCTGCCTCCCTTCTCAGAGAATACCTGCACAAATAGGGGATGTCTACTCATGACCTCATTCTAAAAACATGGAGAAATGTATAGTAGATTAACATTATTAATATTATACAGAATTTATATAGTGCAAATTGTTTGCACAACTCTTTACAAACCAAAGGGAGACAGTACAGTTAGAATACAGTTCAATGCAGAAGGAATAGGAAGATCCTGCTTTTGTGAGCTTACAATCTAAATGGGAGGAGGAGGTGGTACAAAATGTGGGGGGATGAGCTGATGGAGTTGGTTGACACAGTTTTTAGGTGAAGGCGGGATAGGCTTCTCTGAATAGTTTTCTGTGATAACCTAAATGAGGACAGGGTAGGTGATAACTGGACATATTGGGGTAGGGAGTTCCAAAGGATGGGAGAAGTTCTGAAGAAATCCTGGAGGCAAGCATCGGAGGAGGTGATGAGGGAGCTAAAGAAAAAAAGGTCTTGGGGGGAATGGAGTTGATGATTTGAGCAATATGTTGAGGTGAGGTTAGTGATATAGCTGGGGCCGTGTTGTGGATGGCTTTGTATGTTGTAGTTAGTATTTTCATACATTGGGCTAGTGTTAGTCAAAGGAGGGACTGGCAGAGTAGGGTAGCAGCCACGGATTGGTTGGTAATGTGGAGGAGTCTAGCAGCAGCATTCATGATGGACAGAAAGGGGGATAGCCTATGTAGAGGTAGGCCAGTGAGGAGTGAGTTGCAGTAGTCAAGGCGGAGGATAACCAGGGGGTGAATACATTGTTTTGTGGTGGTGTTAGTTAAAAAGGGGCAAATTTGTATACGTATTGCAGATGTTCAGCCCAGTCCCCCATAATAATTCCATTCTGCCACTAGATATTTTCATTCATTCAGCCTGAATTCAACCAGCATTCAACGTGGAAGACTGATGACTAAAGACTGAGTGCAGAACGCCATGGATTCACCCCCTGAAGGGACATAATGATGGAGAGAGTGGCATAGCATGTTATTGCAACACTCTCTATCATTATGAAATGCCCACTGTGTGAAAAAAAAAAACAAGACATCTAAAAAGGTAGGTATAAAAAAAAAAAATTTAAATTAAAAGAAAAAAAATCAAGAAAAAAAAAACACAGCATGAGGGGACGTGAGCCTGGAGTTATTTCTAATATGATAGATAGTAGAGCTTTTAAATGCTTTGCTTTTTTACAGATTTTTAATTTTATTTTTTTTTTACTATATCACAAGGACTTGATTTTAACCTACATATGTTTGTTATTTATTAACTCAATGCAATATTTTAGGATATAATTGCCAACTGTTGTATTAAATATAATTGGTCATTACTTTACAAGCAATCAATATTCATATAATATTCTATCAACAGAATAATGGATGACTATCATGTTTTTGCTTACAGAAAGTATAAAAATCTAGGGGAAGTGTTTAGCAGTTTTTTTTTAAATCCATAAAGTGCATTTAAGAAGGAGGTTAACCATTCAGTATGTGAATTCTCAGATTAGTGGACATTTATAATGTGAGTGTAGGGTGAAAGCAAATTATAATTTTGCTTTTTATCTGACACAGGATGCCAACTCACTTTGTCCAAAACTGAACCAGGAAGAGTAAAGATAGCTTAGCTCTGTTCTTCACCCACAGGAGAGCTCCCCAAGAGGTATTTTGCCTCTAGTGGGCTTAATTGTTGGCCTCAATAATTAGGCCAAATGGGGGGGGGGGGTCAAAATGCGTCTAAGTCGGATTTTTTTTTGCATTTTTCTGTAGCCTGACTAGCTGTTTTATACGATTTGCAGCAGTTTATTACATGTCATGTTGATATCAGTGATAGGAGCTTTAGAGTTTGTGTACATAGAAAACAGGTCATTACCATAATATTTGTAATAATAACTTGGTTAAAAATGACACTAAAATATTGGCTGATATTTACCATAGATAACATTTAATTCATGAACATCAAACCTAACTATAAAATGTAATAAGCTAACAAGCATTTGCAATTTCAGTCAAAAGGCAAAAAACAATTGATGGTTTAATAATGCAATCATTAAGTATTGCGAAACTATAATGTAAAAAAAATGCTATATTGGTAATGCTAGAAGGTTGGGGTTCAATGAAATTACATTAATATTGTTAAATAAGCAGAAATATTTAGAAATAAAATAAGTACATAATTTGGTTAAAAGCCTGCTGGCTACTCGGTTGTTAGGATTTATCTCCATGGAAAATCTAACGAAAAGCAAGTATAACCATACATTTCACTAGCACCCAGGATGTACTTGCTTTGTGTGCATTATCAGTATGATCATTCGGCAAATCTTTGTCTTTAGATGCACAGAGTATTCATGAGTAGTAATACCTGACCAGCAGAGCCGCACAACCTTTGATGTATTGATGGTGAATTTCTTCAAGTTCCGTGTCCATCTATCCACCCTTGCTCTGGGCCATAGAGCACAGGAGGTGTTGTTTTTATAACTCAAGGACATCTCTGAGCCACAAAGGAAGTCACTGCTGAAAGATTTCCCTTTGCTAGGCAATGTGATCACATGCCTGAATTGTAGATTACATCTTACCCCCTCTGAACGCTAAAGTGTACCTCATGTAAGACAACTGTCAAATGAGAAGTCTTCTCCTGCCTACTAATATTCTAGCATTTCACTGACAAATAGAATGAGGTGGGGTTCTCAATTTGGGCAGATTTCAGGGCCCCATGTACAGCCTGGGTCTAGGATCCAAGGAGTTTCACAGACAGAGTCACATGTATTGATGTAAAGACTAACTTTTTTAGGCAGGTCAAGTTCACTTTAAGCACAGCAAAGATATTTTATATTACCCATAGATTAGAATAGTAATCTTTTGAATCCCTCTTCTTAAACCTGATAATACTTCTTGATTCCTCAAACTATATATAATGGGATTGAGAAAAGGTGTTAACATAGCATATACAATGGCAAATATTTTGTCAAAATCCCCTAAATGAACTTCTTTGGGACTAGCGTACACAATACAGGCTGCACCATAGAAAAGAGTCACCACAGTCAGGTGTGAAGAGCAAGTTGAGAATGCCTTCGTTTGCCCTGTATTGGTCTTTATCTTCATAATTGCAATGATGATATTGATGTACATTGCAATAACTATTGCCAGGTTGAACATGGTGGCAAAGCCTCCAACACAACGATTTATAGTGACTGTAAGGGTTATATCACCACAAGATAGACTTAGTAAAGGAGCCAGATCACAGAAGTAATGGTTAAGAATGTATCTTCCACAAAATGGAACTTGTGACGTTAGTGTTGTAGGAATTATTGCCATTAGGAATCCCAAGATCCAGCACATGGAGGCCAAGTATATACATACATTTATGTTCATTATTGTTTTGTACCTAAGTGGTTTGCAGATGGCCACATAGCGGTCAATGGCCATGATTGCCAATAAGTTGCACTCTGTAATCCCCAAAGTATGAAACATGTAGAGCTGAACAAAGCACCATCGGAAGGGGATTCTCTTGTTTTTGGTTACCAACATGGCAAGAAGATTAGGTGTTGTAGTGGACACGTACCATATCTCCAGGAAAGACAGATTGGTGATAAAAAAATACATTGGTGTATGAAGATTAATGTGATAACACACCACCAAGATTATCAATATATTTCCAATAAGAGTCAGAAGGTAAATGACAAAGAAGACAGTGAACATTGCAAGGTTGTAATTCCCGTTGTTGACAAATCCTTCTAGTATGAAGTCATTAAAATAAGATTGGTTTGTCATGATAGGTTGGCTTATGTAGACATCAGAATTGTATTCTTGGATAGTTCAGGACTCCTGAAATACAAAATATTAAAAAATCTATATTAAATTATTAAAAATAATGAGGTTGATACCCTCAGGAAAACAAGATGATTCATCTACCAAAAAAAATTTGCAAAAGTTAAAGAAAATTTAATTTTCAAGGTGAACGGTTCCTATTTCTTCAATAAATTGTTCAGTCGCATGAATTTTATTTGCTCATTCCAGATCTGAGTGTATATCATAGGAGCTTAAAAAAATTCAAGAAAATCTCTCTAGAGCAAAATCTCTTTAGAGTTTCTCTCATACACAGTATCCTTTCTAGTATAGTTTCTGTGACAACTCAAAATGTTGGATTTCCCATCACTTTCAGTCCTAGTGAAAGTAATCTTCAGGACATTATATTTCATCATTCCTTTACGTAGGTCGGAGTATGACACATCAGCGCTCAACAGTAAGAGAAAACCTCTCTAGAGTAAAATTGCTCTAGAGCCCTGGTGCCCATCCTGCGGTCCTTTGATATATGATGTGTGGCCCACGGACCTCACAGTGGTGTATTTAGGTTTTGTGCTGCCCTAGGCAACACAAAAATCGTCTGCCCCCACGAACACCGACCAACACCCCCCCCCCCTTCCTTCCCCTTCCTGCAGAAAGAGCCTGACATTGACCAACACCCTGCCCTACCCCCACCCGGGAGAGCCTTCCACTACCCCCCCACGATAGAGAAAAAGACACTCATCTTTACAGCTCCAGACATCCGTAGGAACAAGAGCTAGGCTCTACATACACCATCAAGCAGCCCACAGTCTCTCTCGGATCCCACCTGGTTCCCATGGCACATGTGTCCCTTCTTTCATCCCTTCTTCTGGGGGGAGGTGCTGCCTCCCTGAAAAATGCCACCCTAGGCAAGTGTCTTGTTTGCCTTGTAGTAAATACACCCCTGGGACCTCAGCAGTCTGTAGTGGGAACATTGATTAGTAATAGCATTGATCTATATTAGCCTCATATAACATGTTCCTGGTTCCATACTATCTTCTGTAGCATATCCCCAAACTCTGGTCTTCATTTCCTCCATAAGGTCTCCAGTTTCTGACAATCCTCTCAAGCATCACTTATATTGAACATTATGTTTGCGTTTTTGATGTCAGGGGCCGTATTTATGGCCCCATTTAGCTCATAAATTGACAACCACTGCTCTAGAGCATCACTTTTACACCAATTACATATAAACAAATGCCCTTCTATACTGCAGTTTCTGTGACAACTCTCTGTTTTATGTTTCCCATAACCAGGGCCAGTGCTACCACTAGGAAAACTAGGCAACTGCAGCTAGGGTGCAGCCATGACCATGACTCACGGAAACCTCTGACATGCTGGTTGAAATGAAAATGGTTGCGGCACCCGAGCGAATCAAAACAGAAACACACACATTCAGAGAGACCCCTACCTCCTCTGCCTCCAGGTAGTCCAGTGCTGCTTGCCTATTTGCTGATTGGTCAGTGCTGAGTGAGGAGGCATGGCTACCCAGGGGACACCAGCCTGCCTTTGTGATGGATATGGTAAAATGCCTATTTGGTTTCCTATTGAATATATATATATATATATATATATACACACACATTTTTCTACACATTTTTCTACATATTTACTTTTATACTTTAATACTATTTCTTTCTTCATATTTATAAATGTTTAGTATGAATACATATGTTGTGTGAATAATTTCTGCCTGCTGGGCTTTGTGGTACTTTAAGAAATTCTTGCTTAAGAAATGTCTGCTCACAGGCACCGATCCCCCCCTCCCATCCTGCCAACTTAAGACAAAGGAATGTTTTTTTTTCTTTCTATAAGATAAGACTTGGAAGAAGATCACACCTATACCATGACGGAGATTGTTTTTGTGTGGAAATGACCAATCAAAGACTAATATAATGCTTATGCTGTTCTCACATGACTCTTGCATCATTTTGCATATATAAGCTCACTTTCTCATTATAATAAACTAGAAGTGTTCATAGACTGAACTTGTGTGTCAGCGTGAGTCTCTTCCAGTGTGCACACATTCCAAAGCTAGAATGATAAATTAGGACAGGAGCAGATAAGCACTGGACAATTTAGTCCTCAACTAAATCACCTTGAGCAGATCAGTTGTGGGAGCACATGAAGAGATAGAGGAGGGTGCAGCTTTGGTATTTCAACAGCGGACCCATCACAAAGACCGGATAGCCTGAAGTGTGAAGAGCAGCTGCTGTGGACCCGACCAGAGCAAGGAGGAACAGAGAGATCCAGAGTGAGTGTGGTGGAATCCAGAGCCAGCCTAAGCGGTCACCCAGAGCAGACTGTGGAGGCCAGAGCCAGCCAACGGTCACCAAGAGCAATCAGCAGAGGCCAGCAGAGGCGACCCAGCCAGATCCAGAGGACTCAGGTAATTAATTTGCTGACCTGATACAGTCAACTCCCATGTCATCTCCATCCTGCACACAGTTATCTCCATGTCATCTCCATCCTGCACACAGCCATTTCCATCCTGCACACCACATTCTGCATGTAATTAATCTCAGACACTGTTTTTCCGTGCCAATATTTAGCGTAATTTAAACCACACCCACTTTCAGCAGGGGTGTGCTTTACGCTCCACATTATTTTTCTAGCTTCCTGTAGAATATCACTTCTTCCCAGCTCCCCTGTCAGTTTTTTTTTTTTTGGGGGAGATGCAAGTATTTGGTCTTGCCTAGGGTACAAAATAGTCTAGCACCAGCCCTGCCCATAACTATTAGTCACAGTGAAAGTGATCTCCAGGACAAATAGAGATAGTGCATGTCCACATCAGGATCACGGAAAGCAATAAATACATGGCAGAGGTTATAATCCTTTCCCATTCTATCCAAAGCAAAACATGGTATTATATACACTTTTTGGTCATCAGTGGTGTAACAAAAGATTAACATCTTACCCTTTGTAGCAGTTGGTTGGCAGCCAATTGTCTACAGCTGCTCCTCAAATGTAGGATAGCAGTCTTAGAAAGATTTTCTTGGTGGATGATCTGAGTTTTGGCATTTCTAAATAATATATCTGGATAAAAAATTCTCACTTATGAATTTCACCCAAAACCTGAGCATAGCAGCCTATGATTACACATTAGGTCATCATTTAAAAGCTTGAAAAAAGTTTGAATGCAATAAATATTGATAGGTGATTAATATTTTATTTTAATAGATTTGCAATGCAAAACAACAGATTCATCATAGGAAAATAAATCTAATCAAGGGGCTAAATTATTAACACAATGGAAATGAATTTGCATATTTTTTTTTTTTTACTGAAAGTAGTTTTATGCTAAGAACATAGTTAGATTTAGTCAGTATGAGTAGACTGACACTGCAAAAATGTGTTTCCAGGCTCATAGGTACAATTAAAATTCTATCATTTCACAGTGCATTATGCATCCATGATATGAAAAGGACAAACAATCTTTTTTTTAACTTGCAACTGAAGGGTGAAAAAGGACATTTTGCAGAAAATACATGTGAAACTGCCTAACTGTTCATTAAAAATACAGAAGGTTGCATGTAATGTTAAAGACACTATCGCATAGATCAATGTGAGAACAAAAGCTTTACCTGGATAGAAGTATTCACTTCTCCATGGCACAATTGGACATTGCTCCATTGATGAGAAATCCTCTGATGAAGTCAGTGCAGGAACCAACACTTTGGACAAGGGGAAACCAAAGAGTGCAATGGAAGACCTAGATGATCAAACTGTAGAGACATAGGGATCAGCAGAAGGAAACACTATGTGAGGTGGGGGGCACAGGAGGTTGACACTTTTGGAAGGGTTGGTTCCTGCACACACTTCAATGGAGGATTTCTTGCCAATGGAGCAGTATGCAGCAGTGTGACCAGTGGCAAAGGGATTTACATTTTTCTTTCCAAGTACAACTATTATTCTCACTTTTATTTAAGTGACAGAGTAAGTTTAAACACAGAAGTGTGAATAGGACTAAAATTACAAATCAGTTTTCAAATATATCTTTCTGTACATACATATCGTATCTCAGCACATGGAATAGACATGATAAATTATGCAAGGTTTGCACTACCACGCCTGGTACCAGAAATGTATTTAAGGCCAAGTACCCTTACAAATGACATTATAACCCCTAGTAAATGACTTTACAAATTATTATGTTGATGATGTTTCTCCTATATCTTCTAACTCTAATCACAGGCCAACACACATTTTGTTTCCTTGGATATTAGACCTATTTCTGGGTGTATTTGAAATGCTGATTCCAAAGTTGGCTCCAATTTTCCCCTATCAGCTCTAGTTTTTGTGAAACAGAATAAATGCCACAATTTACTTTTCACTCTGGTCTCCCATCAAAAACCAGGATATTTAAATGTAGTGCTTTATGTAATCTCCTTGTATTATTAAAAAAACATAAAAAAGTTGCCGTAACCACTACAGTACTCGTTCTGCAAAATGAGATATGAATGGCAATATACACACACCTCCGATATGATCGTAACTATAATACTGTTAATAACTTACAGTTTAGAATCCAATGTTTCCGACTGACGCAGTCTAGCCAATGCAATTTTCTGAATCAGTGCTCCAAATAACCTCAATAACAGGTCTAAAAACCAAGGCACCAAGAAAAAAGATTTTTTTGTTGGACTGTGGTATTTTTTGTTTCAGTAATGTGAAAATTCAACATTCAATGCGCATACCTTATCTAATTTCCTATGTTGGCCAAGTCTAACAATGGTGATAATTAATGGTATTTATAACATTGGCAAAGTGCTTGTAACCATCGTAGACATATAGCAAGATGTTTGTTAATTGGTATCTCGTGGGACATCAGTGAAAGGATTTGGCATCATTACACTTAAACCCCTATAATGAAT